AAGTTTCTACACATACTATTCAGTGGCATCGATTACATTCTTCCAGTTGTGCTGCTATTCTCCCTATCCTTTTCCAAATTATTCCATCACCATTATCTTCAACTCACTGTCCCCGAGGCTTCCCATCAAACCTTTTGAGTTGCGGTTGTCTATTGGATCTCACATAGATAATTCTTTTTTTTTTCTTTTTGTACCTTAGATGAATGTTTGCATTTTCTCATTAAACTGTTAGTACACATATTGCCCTAGGACAAAGTTTAGCAACCCCACCACATGCACTGTCCCTTCTCAACCTTGGGTTCCCTCTCACCAGCTTTCCTGTCCCCTCCTGCCTTCTAGTCCTTGTCCCTGGACTGCTGTGCCTCATTAGTCTCGTTTTGTTTTATGAGGCTGTCCAATCCCTGGCTAAATGGTGAACTTCAGGAGTGACTTCACCACTGAGCTAAAAGGTTCGGGGCCACACTCTCGGGGTTTCTGCAGTCTGTCAGGCCAGTAAATCTGGTCCTTTTTTTGTGAGTTATGTTCTGCATCCTTCCCCAGCTCTGTCCAGGACCCTCTATTGTGACCCCGGTCACAGCAGTCAGTGGTGGTAGCCGGGCACCATCTAGCTGTACTGAACTCAGTCTGGTGGAGGCCGTGGTAGCTGTGGTCCATTAGTCCTTCAGACTAATCTTTTCCTTGTATCCTGTTTTCTTCATTCTCCCTTGCTCCCAAACGGTTGAGACCAGTGGAGTATCTTAGACGGCTGCTCACAGGCTTTTAAGGCCCCAGACACTACTTACCAAGGTAGAATGTAGAACATTGTCTTTATAAACAGTGTTATGCCAGTTGAGCTAGATGTTCCCCGAGACCATGGTCCCCACAGCCCTCCACCCAGCAATTCGGTCCCTTAGGGAGTTTGGAAGTGTCTATGGAGCTTCCATGACCTTTCCTTGTACAAGCTGTGCTGGCTTCCCCAGTATTGTGTATCGTCTTACCCTTCACCAAAGTTACCACTTAACCTTTGTCTATTTAGTACCCCCACCACCCAATCCCTAGTAACCAACAAAGATTGTTTCTTTTTGTCTGTAAACTTTTACATGAGTTTTTACAGTAGAGGTCTCATACAATATTTGTCCTTTTGTGATTGACTTATTTTACTCAGCATAATGTCCTCCAGTTTCATCCATGTTATGAGATGTTTCACAGATTCATCATTGTTCTTTATCTTTGCATAATACTCCATTGTGTGTATGTACCATAGTTTGTCTATCCATTCATCTGTTGATGGGCATCTAGGTTGTTTCCATCTTTTTGCTATTGTGAGCAGTGCTTGCAATGAATATGGATGTGCATATTTCTACTTGTGGGACGGCTCTTATTTCTCTAAGATATATTCCTAGGAGTGGGATTGCATTTTGTAGTGCTTTTTTTTTGTGCTGACATTTTCTTTGTTCCTCTCACTCTCCCATGCTGAGTTACTTTTGTTTGTGGATTTGTTTTTCATTTCTTTTGTTTTTGTAGGTTTTGTTTTTACTGAGACTTTATGTTTTTCTTCTTTATTTTGATGAGT